AGACAATACCCTCGTCTTCCACTACCACAAAAGACAATATCCTCGTCTTCCACTACCACAAAAGACAATACCCTCGTCTTCCACTACCACAAAAGACAATATCCTCGTCTTCCACTACCACAAAAGACAACACCTCGTCTTCCACTACCACAAAAGACAATATCCTCGTCTTCCATTACCACAAAAGATAACAACTAATAAATAACTCAGTTACATTCACGACTAAATAATACTTTCATCATAATGTTTCCTTTCCATAAGTTTAAAGTACAATATTAATTTTGAAACAGTTATAGTTGGCTTGCTGCTACCCTATCATATTATTTCGAACTCCTGGTTAGTCCCTGATATAAGATTGTCTGCTGCATTATTTCTTAAGTTGTTTTTGTTATCTCTGATCTCTGGACGTAACTTAGTTTAACTTGGAGTTATTAATAATTATACTAGTTTTATAATTACATTTCACAATAAAGTTAAATTCAATAACTATAGCCCAATTTACAATGATTATTATGAAAATTTTCTATGCTGTTATAAAAAAAAATCTGAAGCTAAAATAATAATTTATAATCTCTCATAAATATATTCATGCTACATGTCGTAGCATGGGTCGTAGATGTGGGGGGATAAGCCCCCCCCCCCAAATTTCTGTCCTGGTAAAAATGAGATAAGAATGTCATGAGAATAAGAGAGAGGGAAAGAGAGCCAAGACAAAATTTTTCTAAAGCAAGCCTTATACATGTATGTGCAATCTGTGCATTTTGTAAACTATATTTATACTGTATTTTTGAATTAGGGCCTCCCCATTGAAATTCTTAAAAATCAGAGATTATTTACCAGAGCAGGGAAATATCTAAAATTGTGGGAATGGCAACTCTTTTTTTTTTTAGTTCAGGGGAATTTTCATGGCATACCCCTTCCCCCAAAACTAAAATCCTGGCTATGGCTCTGAAGTGTAGATGTAAAATGTACTAGTGATAGCCAGTTATTTATTTGAATTTGTTAGAAATACACATAAAAAACAAGTTATCTTCTGGAGACAATGATACTTCTGAATTTGTTAGAAATACACATAAAAGACAAGTTATCTTCTGGAGACAAAGATACTTCTGAATTTGTTAGAAATACACATAAAAGACAAGCTATCTTCTGGAGACAAAGATACTTCTGAATTTGTTAGAAATACACATAAAAGACAAGCTATCTTCTGGAGACAATGATACTTCTGAAACAACATACCAGCGGCAGCTTGAACCAAAACACTCTGTCCACGACGCAGGTTTCCAAAATCAAAAAGAACTAGATAAGCAGTCACGTAGCTGACCGGCATGGCAACTGCCTCCTCAAACGACATACTGTCTGGAATATGATGACATGTTGTTGCTGGGATCTTAGAGACTTCGGACCACATACCGTAGTGAAAGCTCCAGCAAACCACTCGGTCTCCTACCTGCAAGGATTATAACATCACTTTTATAGTAGAAGTAAAGAAATAGATAAGATGAAGTACACATATAATCACTGATAATACATTGTTATCAACATGATGCAGTCAAGTAATAAACTGTGTTGGCTAACCACCACCATGATGTGGTCAAGTAATAAACTGTGTTGGCTAACCACCACCATGATGTGGTCAAGTAATAAACTGTGTTGGCTAACCACCACCATGAAGTGGTCAAGTAATAAACTGTGTTGGCTAACCACCACCATGATGTGGTCAAGTAATAAACTGTGTTGGCTAACCACCACCATGATGTGGTCAAGTAATAAACTGTGTTGGCTAACCACCACCATGAAGTGGTCAAGTAATAAACTGTTGGTTCACCACCACCATAAAGTGATGTAATAATAAATTGTTGGCTAACCACCACCATGAAGTGGTCAGATAATAAATATAACATATTTTGGGACAACATGGGACCCATTGGTCCATCTCGGCTGTTCCATCCTCAAAACTAAATTAAAATGATTAAAAAATAAAATGAAAAAAATTTAAAGCCAGCCCTTTTCATTCATATACTTATCAAGCTTTTTCTTAAACTCACTTAAATTTACTGCGTCTACAACATCTGAAGGCAACCCATTCCAAAGGCCAACCACCCTGTTAGAAAAATAAGACTGTCTTAGCTGAAGATGACTTCTACCTTGTCAAAATTTATGTGTTCCCTAGTCCTACTATTTGAATTATAAGTGTCATTTGGATGGGAATAACCTTAATAGTGTTATGAAGGAAAGGGATCTTGGTGTAATAGCTGATCAGTCTTAAAAGCCATCTAAGCAGTGTGCTGTTGCTAATGGTAGGGCAAATAAGATTTTAGGTTGTATCTACAGAAATACTGAATACAAGTCTAAAGAGGTTATAATTTCATTTTATAGGTCACTGGTTAGGCCACATTTGAAATATTGTGTACAGTCTTGGGCTCCTTACCTTAGTAAGGACACTGAGTTGTTGGAAAGAATTCAGAGGAAGGATACTAGAATGGTGCCTGGGATGGAGGGTTGTCATGTGAGGAGAGGCTGAAATATCTCAAATTTTTTCTCTTGAAAAAATAATAGTAAGGGGGGGATCTGATTGAGGTGTTTAAGATTGTAAAGGGAATTGATAGTGTTGATGTATCATTTTTTATATATATTTAACAATGAGAATAGTAGGACTAGGGGACACAAATATAAATTTTGTCAAGGTGGGCGTCATCCTCAGCTAAGACAGTTTTATTTTTCTAACAGGGTGGTTGGCCTTTGGGTTGTCTTCAGATGTAGAAACAGTAAATTTAAGTGAGTTTAAAGAAAGCTTGATAAGTATATGAATGATAAGGGATGACTTTAAGATTTTAAAAAAATTATTATAGTTTAGAGGCTGGGACAGCCAAGATGGATCACTAGGTCCCATTTTGTCTCAAAACATTATGTTATGTTATTTTCTCAAGAGAAAACAATTTCAGAGACCTTAACCTGTCCTCATATGTCAACTTTTCCATCCCAGGTTTCATCGTAGGAGCCTTCCTCTGAACCTTTTCCAACAATTCAATATCCTTTCTAAGGTAAAGAGCCAAAGACTGAACACAATGTTCCAAATGTGGTCTAATCAATTGCCTATATAATGAAATTATAGCCTGTTTAGACTTCTATTCAATATTTCTGCAAAAAAACCCACCTAAAATCATATTCTGCCTTGCTACTAGCAACAGCACATTGCTTGGATGGCTTAAGAGACTAATCAAACAGAACACCAAGATCATTTTCTTCCATAACACTGTTAAGGTTATTTCCATCAACATTGTACACATAATTCAAATGATATTTCACACATATTTCCTTGCATTTATTATCATTAAAAGCTAGTTCACCTGACTTACCAAATGATCTAAACTCACAAAAATAATCAAAGTTAGTGTTTCCTGATTATTACTATTTTCAAATATTCTAACGATCCTAGTTCTGGGTGAGAATAACTGATTAATCAAATGGAAATTGATTATCAAATTCCACTAATCACTCAGCTATAGAAAGAATTAACACAACTTTGAGGTCCATGGAAATAAATTTGAAAATATGATTGAGAAGGATAATGTATTTCTGGGGATGAGTGAAGTCATGTTTATTGTGCTACGTGTGGTTCTAGTACCCTCACCGTAAAAAAAGGTGGTTGCACACTGACAGTGCAGATGAGAAGAGCTACCACGGTAATATTTGATTTAAATATTTTCTCTTAAGCAATGGAATAGAGGTGACCTGATTCAGTTGTTTAAACTGTGAGGAGCTCAGATAATCTGTCTGTATGGTTTGTTTGATTGATAATAATGAAAAGGTTAGACAAATATAAATATTAAGGATGATTAATTTAAGCTTTGGAAGCACAGATGCATACTTATTCTTTGACCTTTAATTAACCGAAGTTACAAAACTGGGGAAGGATTTGACCGATGATCAGAATATGTGTAGGTATACAAATTTTAATTCTTTTAAGTCTTTGTACAACAGCCTTACAGGTGTGGAAGACTACATTTACATTGGGTTTCATGTTTTTTTGGGGTGATGGGTGACTTCATTAAACCAAATTGTCTGCTAATGGATGTAATGGGTTACTTTAAACTTTCAGATCAAAACTGTAATATATCAAACTTTAAGAAATGTTAAGTGTTTTCTAGAATACAAAATGAAAATCTTTGTGCAGAAGTTCTAATGGTGGATTTATTTAAAATTTTAGGCATGACTTATTAGAATATTATATTTCTATTTTCAAACAAAATTTTGTTTAATTATCCGCCCCCCCACCCAAATAGAGATGATCAATCAAGTAACGACTGTAAAAAGCTAAACAAAAATTAAACACAAACATACAAGCACCCACATCTCAAAGATATAGGATATAAAGTCATGCTAAACAGATCACAGATACAATTCAAAGAATTAGAATTCAGTTGAAACCTTAAATTCTTGAACTCCTTCTCCAACTTCTTTTACAATCCCAGCACATTCCATGCCCATCACAAATGGTGGTTTCCGTCCATCAAAGGTGTAGAGTCCTTGTCGCGTATACAGGTCAGCAAAATTCATGCCACAGGCTTTCACCTTTACTGTTACTTCTCCAGTTTCTGGGCGAGGACATGACTCCTCTTGCACTACCAGACAGTCATATCCTCCAAATCCGGATAGTTTAATGGATCTAACTTTCTCTTCTCTCTTATCATCAGACATTGCCACCAGAAATAGTTCAAGACAACCTGAATGTGAGAAATGTATCAAATGACATAGATACTGTATAATAAATCAACATTTACCTAATGCTATCATCCAAAGCTTTATTACAGTCACGTTGGCAAGCACTAAAGAGAAATTTTATTCATTGAATAATTACAGGTAATAGTTAAACAACAACACATTTTAATAAATATTCAAGATAAACCTCCTAAGTGACATTTAAATCATCATATTTAAATAAAGTAAAATCTCTATATCATAAACTTGAATTAATTAAACAAATAAACAGCAATTTTCCACTAACAACTGAATCTCCAATATGACAATAATCATATCACTGCAAGATTTCTCTCAAACAAGAATTTATAAACAAGACTTACATATACATATATATATATATATTTTTAGAGAATTATAGCAGCTTTGCTTTAAAAAGCTCATTTTATTACATTTTGGTGAAAAGAGAGATATTATTGTGCCATCTATAATTAATAAAGCTGTCACTGTTATATAGCTTACAACAAGTAGGTATCAACTGATGGGTATTACTGAAAAAAGCACTGTGTGCAAAGTTTACAGCCAATCAATCTTAATATATGCAATGAGGCACAGAGTTTAGCATCAGTTTAGGAAATAGGGAAATCACACGGAACATATTCATTGTTTCTGGTTAAACTATATTAGCTTTACATAGAAAATATTTTCTCAAACCTAGTGAAAATAAAAAAGCATATCAGAAATATAGTCATGGAGATAGAAAATAATTAAAGTGCAGTTATTGATAAACATCTGAAATGCTGGGTTTAATGTTTCACTCTGATGAGAAAAAATATACATAATTTGTTAATAAGTATTCCAAAATTACGGCCATGTAGCATTTGCCATATCACTTTTTATTGTGCTTATTTCAATTATTATAATTCAACTTGTAAACTTGATTATATTATTAAAATTTATCAAAGCAAGAAAGTTCTTTTCATCACTGTGAAAATTATAGAAAATAATGTTATGAAATTCTATTCATGTGCCTCGATATTCATATATTTATACTAATAGAACAAGTCAAAATTTGACATAATATACAGAGTTGTGTTATTTCACTCAATTAAAATTCTTATCCAACCATAAAAAAATCAAACATCTGGCCACTAAATATGCTATTTCTAAAAGTTCTTTTAAAACTAAAAATAATTTCTGACAATGTTAATACTGTGAGTACTCACCCCATCTTCAAAGGTTTTAATTAGTCATCCCATGCACTTGTTAACAGCAGAACAACTTTATAAGACCCTTCTTTCAAAAACTTGACTTAGGCATACACACTTTTACAGTTGTTAATATAATTCTCAGAACTTACCAAACACTGAACTTATAAACATAATTGTAGAAAATTACACAGCAAACCTATTCAAAATTAAAATATGTTCAAACATGCTTATTGCACGTGCATTTTCTTTAAAACATAAAAATGTAACATTCTTATTAGCATAAAACAACATAAACAACACTCTGAGAGTTGACTTTTAAAAAATCATTTTGATGCTAAATCATTACATGGAAATTATGATCTAAAAATTTTGAAGTAGAATAAAGTAATTTGCATAATAAAATTCAAAAACAATGGCCTATAGCAATTAAAAAAAAAACACTTCTGTGTAAAATATACACAGATTTGAATTGTTTTGAATTTAGCAGTAAAGACTGGAAGAAATGCTGCTAGTTATCACCGCCAACTCTTAGGCTACTCTTTTGCCAACAAATAGTGGGACTGACCGTCACATTTTTTTAAGTCCCCAAGGCTGAAAGGGCGAGCATGTTTGGGGATTCGAACCCGCAGATTGCGAGTCGAGCGCTCTTACCACCTGACCATGCACAGGAAAAATGAATATTTTCTATCAAATAAATTGTCACTCAAAAGCATTGTAAGCTGCATTAAGTTAACTTCTTTAACTTTTAAGTCAGCATTGCACCCTAGTAATTATACAACCAGTATCATAAATATCTAAAATTCAACTAACGTAACTTTATACCTTTCAGTTTCAAGTTTTATCACGCTACCAAATTACTAAAGTTCACAGTTTTGTATAAACCTTAACAAGCACGTTGGATCTTTGAAGTTTTATTATTAAAGTTCAAAATACCTACACTGCTGTCACTTTAACCTTATGTAAACACAAAACAAGAATTATCCTTGTTTATACAAGAAAGCCGCTAGAGATGTAAGACTTCAAAATCATCACATGACTACACAGATGTTAGGGGTCGATTTTGAATATACAGAACGTAAAAAAGCAGTTAATTGAATTAAGATAAATGAGGCTGAATATCAACTAAAATTTGATAAATTTAACGGTGTGTTTAACGCAGTCTCTTTCAAATAATCTTACTTTGCTTAAATCATATTTTTTATAAAATATGATTATAATAAGCAAAGAAAATAACAAAATATTTACTAATACTATTTGTTTACTATTTTTAATTAATTCACGAAGAAAGAAGATTGAAACAATAAGTGCACTTAGCTTGAGAAAATGAAGTGTAACATGACGAAGACTGTTGTTCTACTTTGCCATTGTGGGTTTAATGCTCAAGTCAAACCAAAAAGTATAGATCTTCAAGAAAATCGATTTTCAATATATATTTCAACTCATTAAACATCGTTCTTGTAATCACGATGATTTAGAATAGAACAATAGAAATAAATGTTACAACAGCGGAAGTCACGTGACGCTGGTAACACGTGATGAATTTTTCGAATGATCATGAATTATCGGGGAAGACCGATTTTGTTCGATACGCCTTCTTTTTTTAGTATATAAGCCTGTCAGAGAAAGCCTGCGGGATTGAATGAATGAAGAGAATTGCGGATAATTTACGATTCTGTTTCGAGATAGTGTGTGAAGTTATCGAGATTGTGAATAGCTGTGATTTATAGCGTGTATTATAACAGTAGTTAAGTTCAAAGTGACGAGAAATGTATTGATTGTGAAATTACTGTGTCCTAAAAGTTTGTATCGAGAAATAATAAACTGGTTTAATCAAGAAAGGACTTGTATCGCTGAAGTTCCTCGGAAAGAAATTCTACCGGAAATTAACAAACAAGCAGATACGCAACATAAACATCCATTAAGTAAAGTATGGGTAGATTATCGTTGACTTTATTTGGATCGTATATTGATAGAGTATGATACGCAGTATAAGCTAGTTATATACAAACATTTACTTATTTATTGTTTATCAAGTATTGCTTTCACAATATCCGGACTATTCTTCAGTTTTTTTAACTAAAAAAATTTCATTAATTCTTCCAATGCACAGTTTTCATAATACCCCTTTTCTACATAGTACTTTTTCAAAGCATTGGTAAAAAAAGGAAGAAACTCACATTTTAGTCAGATTGGTAGCTTTTTATGACGCATTATGATTGTTTGACCAATTGGATCCATGTCATTGAGAGGAACATGCCCCAGACCTTCCTAGAATGAAACTACCTTCAGCACTTGCACAACTTTATCACGGCTAAAATTTCTTTTTCAAAAGTCTTACTCAACAAATTCTATAGGTGTGTGTGTGTGTATTGGTGCAAGTTGTTATTGTTATTAGTCCGTTGGCAGGTTTCATTAAATTATCTGGTGAAAATAATTGAACATCCCGTCTGATTTCCTCCAATACAATAAAACCACTCACATAACTTATTTTTATCGATATTTGTTGAAAAACACTGTAGCAAAGACCAACAATACAGTATTTTA